CCTGGAGGGGTGGGAGGGGCACGAAACCATGTAAATAGTATGGTATTCCGATACCCTCCTCGCTCAGGCGGGGCCTCCCTGGAGGGGTGGGAGGGGCACGAAACCATGTAAATAGTATGGTATTCCGATACCCTCCTCGCTCAGGCGGGGCCTCCCTGGAGGGGTGGGAGGGGCACGAAACCATGTAAATAGTATGGTATTCCGATACCCTCCTCGCTCAGGCGGGGCCTCCCTGGAGGGGTGGGAGGGGCACGAAACCATGTAAATAGTATGGTATTCCGATACCCTCCTCGCTCAGGCGGGGCCTCCCTGGAGGGGTGGGAGGGGCACGAAACCATGTAAATAGTATGGTATTCCGATACCCTCCTCGCTCAGGCGGGGCCTCCCTGGAGGGGTGGGAGGGGCACGAAACCATGTAAATAGTATGGTATTCCGATACCCTCCTCGCTCAGGCGGGGCCTCCCTGGAGGGGTGGGAGGGGCACGAAACCATGTAAATAGTATGGTATTCCGATACCCTCCTCGCTCAGGCGGGGCCTCCCTGGAGGGGTGGGAGGGGCACGAAACCATGTAAATAGTATGGTATTCCGATACCCTCCTCGCTCAGGCGGGGCCTCCCTGGAGGGGTGGGAGGGGCACGAAACCATGTAAATAGTATGGTATTCCGATACCCTCCTCGCTCAGGCGGGGCCTCCCTGGAGGGGTGGGAGGGGCACGAAACCATGTAAATAGTATGGTATTCCGATACCCTCCTCGCTCAGGCGGGGCCTCCCTGGAGGGGTGGGAGGGGCACGAAACCATGTAAATAATATGGTATTCCGATACCCTCCTCGCTCAGGCGGGGCCTCCCTGGAGGGGTGGGAGGGGCACGAAACCATGTAAATAGTATGGTATTCCGATACCCTCCTCGCTCAGGCGGGGCCTCCCTGGAGGGGTGGGAGGGGCACGAAACCATGTAAATAGTATGGTATTCCGATACCCTCCTCGCTCAGGCGGGGCCTCCCTGGAGGGGTGGGAGGGGCACGAAACCATGTAAATAGTATGGTATTCCGATACCTCCTCGCTCGGCGGGGCCTCCCTGGAGGTGGGAGGGGCATAGTATGGTATTCCGATACCCTCCTCGCTCAGGCGGGGCCTCCCTGGAGGGTGGGAGGGGCACGAAACCATGTAAATAGTATGGTATTCCGATACCCTCCTCGCTCAGGCGGGGCCTCCCTGGAGGGGTGGGAGGGCACGAAACCATGTAAATAGTATGGTATTCCGATACCCTCCTCGCTCAGGCGGGGCCTCCCTGGAGGGGTGGGAGGGGCACGAAACCATGTAAATAGTATGGTATTCCGATACCCTCCTCGCTCAGGCGGGGCCTCCCTGGAGGGGTGGGAGGGGCACGAAACCATGTAAATAGTATGGTATTCCGATACCCTCCTCGCTCAGGCGGGGCCTCCCTGGAGGGGTGGGAGGGGCACGAAACCATGTAAATAGTATGGTATTCCGATACCCTCCTCGCTCAGGCGGGGCCTCCCTGGAGGGGTGGGAGGGGCACGAAACCATGTAAATAGTATGGTATTCCGATACCCTCCTCGCTCAGGCGGGGCCTCCCTGGAGGGGTGGGAGGGGCACGAAACCATGTAAATAGTATGGTATTCCGATACCCTCCTCGCTCAGGCTGGTATGGTATGCTATGGTACGCCATGGTATGGTATGGTACGGTATGGTACGTATGGTGTGGTATGGTATGGTACGGTATGGTACGTATGGTGTGGCATGGTATGGTATGGTATGGTATGGTATGTGTGGTAGGAACTATGGTATGGTATGGTATGTGTGGTAGGAATAATATTGTGCTGTATGGAAGATGGAGAGGGAGGTGGGTGGGAAGGAGAGGGTGTTCTGGGAAAACAAGAACCCCACTCAGGATGTGGGGAAATATCCCAAACATCTTAGAAAAACACTCGAACACTCAAAAAATCGTCCCCTGACTATTTTTTGACGATTTTTTGGTTCTCCTGCTGTAGAGGGACATGCCCGACTTGCTCCTGCTCGTCGTCTCCCGGCTGCACGCGGAGGGCGGCGGGCGGCGGTGCGGACGGCCCGACGGCGGTGGCGCACGCGCTGCGCCCCGCGGCTGCCTTCCCGAGGGCCGTGGGCCCTCGGCGAGTAAGGCCAGGGCTCGCCATCGCTCGGACGTCCATTCCCTGTTTTTTTCGGTTTCGTGCGTGGTTTTTTCGCCAAATGATCAAGGACGCTCCTCGATGGTCCTCGCCGAAGGAAAAATGCACACGTCCGAGCGATGCCAAGAGGGGGCGAGCTGGGGCGGCGGGCCTGTGGGCGTTCACTCACCCGATAGGTCTGCAGGTGGAAAGGCCTGGCGCGCCCTGCCGGCAGGCTGGCGCCGCGTGTTGGGGCTCGGCGGCTCACCCAATAACGTCCACGGGGTCCAAATAACGCAAGCGCGCTGCCTAGAAGCACCGTCGTTTGTCCGGCTGTGTAGTTGACAACTCTTTTCGGGTTTAGCACCGTAGCCCTGGTAGCCAGGAGAGGCTTGGCGACACGCTTGGGCGGCAGTTGGTTGCAGCAGGGGGCAGGGGCTGAAAAAGTAGGGCTCGGCCCCAGCCCTGTGAGCCTAAAGGAGGAAGTTATGACATGGGTCAGATACTTTATTGAAGGGGGGAAGGCAGCAGGCAGGTGAGGCGGCCTGGCTGGTGGGTGCGCTGGCGCGGCGTGCGTCTTGGGCCTCGAACGTCTTGGCCTTAGCCAGGGCGTCTGGCGGTTCGTTCCCTCCCTCCCCACAGTGCATCGCCCGCAAGCGTCTCTTGCGCCACAAGAGCAAAAGGTGTAGGTTATCTGGGCCCGAGTGCAAGCGAGCGTCTGGAATGGAGTAGGGAGGGCGGGAGGCAGGTGAGGCGGCCTGGCTGGTGGGTGCGCTGGCGCGGCGTGCGTCTTGGACCGCGGCCCCCTGGCCCTAGCCGGGGCGTCTAGCGGCTCGATCCCCCCCTCCCCGCACTGCATAGACCGCAAGCGTACGCCTTCCGCCACAAGGGCACAAGAGCGCAGGTCAGCCCAGGCGAGCGTCGGAGCGCCGTTCTCTTCGCGCCTGTGCAGGGGAGCAACGGCGGGGGGGCGAGGGGCGAACGCTGTCCTCGCGCCACATGCTGGCCAGGTGACAGGATGGTGCAGGTGGTTGATCAGGGATCCCCAGCCTCCAGCCAGCGTGCGGAAAACCCGAAGTTTGCCCTGGGGTCAGTCGCCACGCCATGCCGCGAGCATGGGGTTGCCGGTGTCCGAGTCGGACGGGCCTTCCCTTGCATTCCTCGGGAACTTCCCATGCCAGCTCTCCGGAGCTCCGATCGCTAATGTCCCCCCCGTAGCCCTCGGCGCGGAAGGCGGACAGGTTGGGATAAGATGGCGGCGGGTGCCACGCAGGGACGCCGACGATGGGGTTGCGGTCAGCGGCCCTGCCCCGCGCGCCGTGGCGATTGGCGCGGTGCGGCACCAGGCCAGCCGCCCACGACCCAGGCTCTGGTTCCCCGCATTCCCTTGAGTTTTCCTCTTCTAGCCCGTCCACGCCCGAATCGTGGACGTCCTCCAGGTCGGCGGCGCGGCAGGCGGCGCGAGCGCCCCCGACAAGCGGACCGGCGCCCCCCCCTGCACAGAGCGATGCTCCATCTATCAGGGGCTTCTGCGTTACACGTGACACGCACGCTGTCTCAGGTATGTCTGCGCCCATCCCCCGCGCAGGACGGCTGTCGACGTCGGCGGCGCGCTCGCCCTGGCCCGCTGGAAGCAGGCCACTGCCGAGAGCCCCCGCAAGGGGTGGACTGGCTGGGGAGGCCATTCCATCGCGCACTGCTGTCTCAGGGAGCTGCGCGCCCCCACCTGCAGACATCAGGAGTTGCTGCGCTGACGTGGCCTGTGCTGTCCTGGCTGGTTCGCGGTCTCGCCGCTGGTCCTGATGCGCCAGGCGGCCGGCGCCTCCGCGGACGAGCCTCCGCGGTCTCGTGGGCGAGGTTCTCCAGTGCCCGTGCTCCCTGTCATTGGCCTCGTTGGCGCTGGTCTTGGGCGGGTACGCTGCGCTGGTGGCGAGGAGGCGCCTGCGGCGGGGCCTCTCGCCGGGCCGCCGAAGGCCTCAGCGCGGCAATCTCGCGTGAGCGGAGCTCGCTGGGCCACCACGCTTTCGGGCAGCCCCCCGTGTTCATGGTGTCCTGGATCGACTTCGCGGGTTCTGCGGCCGAGCGCCCCGCATGGCCGCCCGCCCTCCTGGGATCTACCCGCCACGCCCCCCCCCCGCCCGTTCTGACTGGACCTGGCGGGGAGGGTTCCCCCCCGACCGTTCTGGCGGGACTGACTTCCTTCTCCTCCTCCTCCCCCTCATCCCCCTCCTCCTCCTCCTCCTCCTCCTCCTCCCTCCTCCTCCTCCCTCCTCCTCCTCCATCCTCCATCCTCCTCCATCCTCCTCCTCCTCCTCCCCTCCTCCTCCTCCTCCTCCTCCTCCTCCTCCTCCTCCTCCATCCATCCTCCTCCTCCTCCTCCGGCCTCTCTCCTCCTCCTCCTCCTCCTCTTCCTCCTCCCCCTTCCGTCCTCCTCCTCCTCCTCCTCCTCGCCTCCTCCTCTGGCCTCCGTCCTCCTCCATCCTTCCTCCTCCTCCTCCTCCTCCTCCTCCTCCTCCTCTCCTCCTCCTCCTCCTCCTCCTCCTCCTCCTCCTCCTCCTCCTCCTCCTCCCCTCCTCCTCCTCCTCCTCCTCCTCCTCCTCCTCCTCCTCCTCCTCCTCCTCCTCCTCCTCCTCCTCCCTCCTCCTCCTTCCTCCTCCTCCTCATCCTCCCTCCTCCTCCTCCTCCTCCTCCTCCTCCTCCTCCTCCTCCTCCTCCTCCTCATCCTCCTCCTCCTCCTCCCTCCTCCTCCTCCTCCTCCTCCTCCCTCCTCCTCCTCCTCCTCCTCCTCCTCCTCCTCCTCCTCCTCCCTCCCCCGCCGCCCAGAGCAATGGGGGGGGCGCCCGAGGGCGGCCTTCAGCTCGCCCACGTCCTGCCGCAGCGACCGCTGGGTCTTCAGCCACAGGCGGGGCAGCTCGCCCGTGATCACGGGCGGGGGGCTGCAAAGGGGGGGGCACAGATCCTTGCGCTTCTGCCTCCAAGGTCGAGCATCGAGGATCTCGAGGATCTCGAGGGTCGAGGGTCGAGGATCGATCGAGGATCGGTGGTCGAGGATCGAGGATCGAGGGTGGAGGAGCGAAGAGAGAGGGCGAGGACTCCTCCTCCTCCTCCTCCTCCTCATCCTCCTCCTCATCCTCCTCCTCCTCCTCAATCCTCTTCCATCCTCCTCCCACTTTCCCCCTCCCCTCCCCAGAGGTCCTGTGGTAACCTCTACGGCTACATGCCCTCAATCGGGAGAGAAACCAAACACTCCTCTCCATCCTGTTCTGCTCCCTTTCCCAAGAGGGAGGAAGATAGAGGAGGAGAGGGAGGAGACGTGATAGGGGGAGGAGGCAAGAGTCCTGCTGCGAGGCTTTCGGTACTCTTAGGCTTCTCGCAGTTGACTGGCGAGGCCAATGTGTTTTCGGAGGTGCTGGGACGCCCTCTGATAGGTTAGGCGGCATTGGGTGTGCTTGATTCGGCGGCGAGCCCGGGGGGAAGTGACAAGGGGCGGACCTTCTCAGAAGGCTCGAAGTCCCCCGGCCTTCTAAGATGTTTTCTGAGCCTTTCCCGAAAACGCAGAAACCCTCTCAGAAGGCTGGAGGGCTTCTGAGAAGCCCCGCCGCCCTCTCAGCAGGCCTTCTCCTTTCCATTCCCATCCTCGATCGACGCTGAGCATTGGGTGTACTTGGTAAGTTCTGTCGTTAACAACAATCGCGGGAGCGAATATCCTTCTCTCTCTCTCACTCTCTATCTTTATGTCTCTCTCTCTCTCTCTCTCTCTCTCTTCATACCAATACATACATCTACCGATGTAAAGATGTGTGTATATATATATGTGTATATATATGTATGTATCCCCGCAGTCGCGGCGAGTCGCAGGACGTCAGCAGTCTGCGAAGCTCTGAAGAAGCCCGCCGCAAGCTGGGTCGCGGGTGGGTCGCGGGCAGGTCGGGGGGGGCCACGGGAGGGTCGCGGTCGCGAGTGGTCGCGGGTGGGTCGCGGGTCGGGTCGCGGGGGGGACGACGACAACAAACAACAACAACAACAACAACAACAACAACAACAACCAACAACCAACAACCAACAACCAACAACCAACAACCAACAACCAACAACCAACAACCAACAACCAACAACCAACAACCAACAACCAACAACCAACAACCAACAACCAACAACCAACAACCAACAGCCAACAACCAACAACCAACAACCAACAACCAACAGCAACAGCAACAACAACAACACCACCACCACCAACAACAACAACAACGACGACGACGACAACAACAACCACAACAACAACAACAGCAACAACATTAGCAACACCAGCAACAACAACACCAACACCCACACCAACAACAACAGCAACACTACCAACACCAAAAACAGCAACAACAACAACAACCACAACCACAACAACAACAACCACAACCACAACAACAACAGCAACAATCAGTTTACCCTCATGCGCGATGTTTCCACACGAAACATGCGACCATGATGATAACAATCCACATCATGGGGGACTCTTGTTCTATAGCGGGGTCCGTTATTCCCATTCCCAAATATCCCGCCCAATGAGGTCTTGCAAACACTTCCTCCGAGGAATTTCAACATATCCCACCTCAAACACACATGCCCGCGCCTTGCTGCGCCGATGCGAGACCGCCAAAGGAACCCCGGCGAAGGGTAAAGCACAAGAAAGTATCGAACGGCAGGATTGCCTTGGTGGGGATGGGGGCTGTCGGCGGTGAGGCAAGGACCTGTCCCTGAATAGAAAAGGAAGAAGCCTCGAGCAGGGCTGCTGTTGTTGCTGGGAGCGGCGCCAATGCTGAAGAGAGCAGGGCGCTAGTCCAGCGTAAAACAAAACGAAGTCTCGAGCGGGAACGCTGGTTTTGTTGGGACGGCGGCTTTCGGCGGCGAGGAGGAACACCGCCTTGAATAAGAAAGGAGGAAACATCGAGCGGCAGCCGTGGTTTTGTCGGGACGGGGGCTGTCGGCGGCGAGGAACAGCACCGTCCCGAGGAGAAAGGGAGGAAGGCCTCGAGCGGGAGCGTCGTTCTTGCTGGGAGCGGCACCAATTCAAAAAAGAGTTGGGAGCCAGTCCAGCATAAAACGGAAGTCTCGGGCTGGAGCGCTGGTTTTGTCGGGGCCGCGGTTTTCGGCGGCGAGGAGGAGCACCGCCTTGAGTAAAAAAGGGAGGAAGCCTCGAGCGGGAGCGTTGTTTTTGCTGGGGGCGGCGCCGATGAGAGAACGACTAGCGCGCCAGTCCAAGGTAAAACGGGAGGAAGTCTCGAGCGGGAGCGCGTTTCGTTAGGACGGCGGCTTTCGGCGGCGAGCAAGAACACCAGCCCTGAGCAAAAAAGGAGCAACTCTCGAGCGAGAGCGTTGTTGTTGTTGTTGTTGCTGTTGTTGTTGTTGTTGTTGTTGTTGAAGTTGTTGTTGTTGTTGTTGTTGTTGTTGTTGTTGTTGTTGTTGTTGTTGTTGTTGTTGTTGTTGTTGTTGTTGTTGTTGTTGTTGTTGTTGTTGTCGGGGGGCCGGTTTGGGCGGTCCCCCAAACCGCTCGAGCGTGAGCCTCATTTTCAATAAAAATGTAGCCGGCGCCTCGGCGAGAGCGCCAGGGCGCCTGTAAGGGGTCCAACAACAATACTTGTTTAGTAATCATCGTCAACAACAACAATCCGCACCGCAGAACCTGATTTCAGGCACGCGCCCAGGGACAGTGGATGACCATTCGGCTCCCTCAACCTGCTATATACGTATATGTACATATAGATATACATATTCCAATGGGAGGTGACCGTCGTCCTACGCATCGTCCTCGTGCCTCCTCCTCCGCACTGTACTCATCACTCTCGTCATCCGGTCACCATGCACCCCGTCCTCGTCGTTAGCGGCGTCACCATCACAGGCACCAGCTGCTGAATTATCATGTCATCACCGTCATCCGAATATGCAGAATCGTAACTGACAGTGTCGGCGTTATCGCCGTCACCATCATCATCAGCATCATCATCAGCATCATCATCGTCAGCATCTTCATCATCATCATCATCAGCAGCATATTGTTCTTCTTCATCAGCATCGTCAGCATCATCATCAGCAGCAGCATCGTCATAATCGTAATCATCACCACCACCATCGTCAGCAGCAGCATCACCATCACCATCATCGTCAACATCAGTATCATCATCATCAACATCATCATGAGCATCATCATTATCATCGTCATCAGCTTCATTAGCATCATCAGCAGCAGCAGCATCCTCATACTTTTCACCGCCATCAAGAACAGCATCAACATAGTTATCAGCAAAGCCGCCTCAATCCTCCTTCATTCGTCCTTAACATGAGCATCATCATCATAAACATAATCATCGTCATCATCACAACCGCCATCAACAACAACAGCATCAACATACACATATTCAGAAACAGCGTAGTCATCATGAGCAACATCATCATCAGCATCAACATCGTAATCGTTATAATCATCAGCGTCGTCACCAATGCCATGATCAGTATCAGTATCAGTGTCATCAGCATCAGCATCATCACCATCATCATCAACATCAGCATCAGCATCATCAGCATCACCGCCATGCCCCTCCTCCTCCTCGTCATAGTTATCACAACCCCTTCTCCTCGTCGAACATCATCATGATCCTGTCCTCCCTCATTCCTCCTTCATTCGTCCAAAATTCGTAATCATCACCACCATCCGCATCATCATCATCATCATCACCATCAGCAGCAGCATCATCATCATTAGTATCAGGAATAATCTCTGACGTATTACACTCGTTATTAGCAGTGTGATCCGTACCATTACCATCAATATCATACTTCGCATGCTACTGATCATCACAGGTAGTCATCATCGTCATCAGTACCATCAATTGCATCATCAGAATCAACATCATCATCATCGTCGTCATCATCATCATCAGCATCATCACTAACAACAACAACAACAACAACAACAACAACAACAACAACAACAACAACAACAACAACATCTGCCTACGCCTCCTCCCTTGTTCGGTCTCCTCACTCACGTCGTCATCATTGTCCCGTCCTCCTTCCCATCCCCTCCGGAGTGATAACCGAGCGAACCTGCTGCCCGAGCTGCCTGCTGTGCGCGAGATAGAGTCTTCGGCCGCAGCCATGTATTGACCTCCAGAGACATCATTCCCGCCGACAGCCAAGGCGGCGCATGAGGATGGCAAGAAGGGGGAAGGAGGGGAAGAGTGGGAGGGGGAGCACGACGAGGGTAGGCGGAGCAGCAGCAGCAGCAGCAGCAGCAAGACGGCAATCCCCTCACCTTCGGAGAATCTCCCCTTCCCTGGCTGGCCCTCGCATGTCCTCCAGTCCATCCCTCCCTTCCCCTTCCTCCCGTCGTCCTTGCCGTCTTGCCCACTTCCTCCCTCCTGCCTCTTCTATTTCTGCTTGCTTGATGAAGGAGCTCTGTGTTCCTGCCGTCTGTGCTTCTGTGTTTGCCTGTTTGAGTGCCCGGCAGTTTGCCAGCGGAACCCTCCTCCCCATCCTCCCTTACTTCCGTCCCTCCCCCACCCTCATTCCCTCTTCCCCTCCGGCCCTAATCAGTTCTCCCTGTCCCAGAAGGCTCCCCCCAATCAGAGTAATCAGCGGGAAGAGCGGGCACAAGTAATGATTTACCAGAGTTGCCTTACACGATGACGTGGCGGCCAGAGACATGAATATGCAGGACATCGTTTACAGAACTGCGTAGGAGGAGCAGATCGAGAACACACAGACCACGAGCATCACCAAACACCACACCCTCAGCCACGCACGTGTGAATCGCGACGATGTGTGCTCTCACAGTCTGGCCATCCGCCTGTTGAACTTCGGCAGGTGGAGCACGAAGTCAATGAATCCACCTAGGCAAGGTCCCTTCGCTCACCGACTTGCCGCCCTGGCTGCGATCGCGACCCCGCGCCACCCCCGGATCGACACCGCCCGCCTGCCGAGCGGCACACGCATGCGCCGCCTGCCCGACATCTGCAAAAATGGTCATGGGCGTCGTGACTCCGCCATCCGCACGTCACGGACAGACGGAGAGAAAAGGGAGGACGAGCATGAGCCTGAGGTGGGGGAGAGCAGGATGGCGAGGAGGGAATGAGGGGAAGGAGGAGAAGGGGGAAGGGGTCAGGCGGGGGGGCGAGGAGGATCACGTCGAGGAAGATGAGCACGAGGAGGAGGAGGAGGAGGAGCATGAGTAAGAAGATTGTGTGGGCAAGGCAGGTTCGGACAAGGAGGTGGCGGTGGTGGTGGTGGTGGGTGAGGAGGTGGAGGGGGGAGGAAGGGGAATGAGCAGGAGGGTCGGACTGCCGTGCGATCATACCCATCCGGCCACTGGTTCTAGAATGCGTCTTGCTGTGTGCAAGCTGCTCATGAGCGTTGCCGCTGCAATCCGAGCACCCTGCGGATGACCTGGTGCATGCCAATTCTCCGATCCCCACTCCCTACCCTACCCTCCATCCTCCTCCACTCCCTCTACCTCTCTCCACCCCTCCCTTCTCTACCTCAGAATCGATATATCCTGGATCGCGTTCTTCATCCAAGCGTCGCGTGGGGATTACCCCCTCAAAAATAATGGAAGTCACATTGATGCATGTCTATGACGGCAACCTTCAGTAAAAGGCGACAGTTTTGGTACGAGCTGAAATTCACGCTGTGATCGTTTGTGTTACAGACAGGCGTCCACATGACGGAATACCTCTTAGCCTGATCCAGTTGGCTGGCTCAGGAGACGCGCCAATGCATGATTGTGGACAGTTTTCATTTGCACTTTTGACTCTCTCCGAGAGGCCGAAAGGACAACAACAAAACATCCACGCTCACATCCTCCTCCTCCACCTCCTCCTTCTCCTCCTCCTCCTCCTATACCTCATCCGCCCTCGCAGCCCATTTGGGGTCCTCCGCGTGGGAGGTATTTGGCCCTCTCCCGGGAGCCCAGTCTGACCAGCCCAGCGGGTCCGGCTGACTCATGAGCATATCATTGCCGCATTCTGGCAAGTTCACTTGCATGCCATTTCAACCCCTCCGCCGCCATTTCAAATAACGCTGGGCCGAAAAGGCGTGCAAGTGAGTCCCGACTTGGGTGAAGTCTAAATTTCCTTTCGGGCCTCACCATGCCCCCCCCTCCATGCATGTAAACACGCCAGAATCTAAAAAAGAGCTGCTTCCATCTGCCCCTGATATGCTCCCAGGGGCGCCGAACCCCTCCCTTCGGGAGCCCAGGTCGCTCCAAGACGGTCCAAGAGAGCTACGAGATGGCCCAAGACGGCCCAAGATGGCCTCAACGCGGCTCCACAAGCCCCCGCCACATCCCACGACGCTCCCAAGGCGCACCAAGACGGCCCCAGTAGGACCCCAAGAGGCAAATATCATTGATGTTCCTGTGTCGTTTCTACATGTCTGGCCTGCTCGCCTTGTCGGTATTCAGGGTGCCTGGCACAGCCCAAGAGGCCCCAAAGATCACCAAAGACTGCCCAAAAGGCACCATGGAGGGCAGATCAGGCCCAAGAGGGCCTGAGAAGCCCGCAAGACTCCCCAAGAGACCCCCATAAAAGGGCCCCAGGGGAGCCAAAAAAGAGGAACAGGGCCCCGGGAGCCCAAGATTGCCCCCAAGACCCCCAACATGCCCCCGAGAGAGCCCCCAGAGGACTCCAAGAGGCTTCCTGAGGCCCCAGGGACGCCTCCTGAGGCCCCCAAGGGGCCTTTCGAGAAGGCCCCAAAGCGCCCCAACAGGTCCCCTCTCGACCATGGTGCTCTAGGTCACCTAACTTCGCGAGGCGCACCCCCGAGATGCGCGACGCTAAATTGTCTTCGCGCCCTCGCGCCGTCCCCCTTGAGAAGGGCAGCCCGCTGTGTCTGGCCCAGACCGCGACGGGCGCAGCGCGATTACCTTCGTGACCCTGCGTGTGACCAAGGGATTCTGGGATTTCCCTGGAAAGGCCAATCGGCGCCAAGACGCTTCCACAGAACCTCTCCCTGGAAGAGAGGCTCCCAGGGCTCTCAAAGCGTAGGCGATGCGGCGGAAGCCAACGCAAAAAGAAAGAAGTGTCCACGCTCGCCTCCTCCTCCTCCTCCTTCTCCTCCTCCTCCTCCTCCTCTTCCTCCTCCTCCGCCTCCTCCTCCTCCTACTGCTCCTCCTCCCCCTCCTCCTCCTCCTCCTCCTCCTCCTCCGCCTCCGCCGCCCCCTCCCCCTCCCCTCCCCCTCCCTCCTCCTCCTCCTGCTCCTCCTCCTCCTCCTCCTCCCCTCCGCCTCCCCGTCCTCTTCCTCCTCCTCTCCTCCTCCCTCCTCCCTCCTCCTCCTCCTCCTCTCCTCCTCCTCTCCTCCCCCAACTCCTCCCCCAACTCCTCCCCCCTTCCAGCCTTCCTCCTCCTCCTTCGCCTCCTCCTCCTCCTCCTTCCTCCTCCTCCTCCTCCTCCTCCTCCTCCTCATCCCGCCTCCTCCTCGTCCGCCTCCTCCTCCTCCCTCCTCTTCCGCCTCCTCCTCCTCCTCCTCCTCCTCCTCCTCCTCCTCCTCCTCCTCCTCCTCCTCCTCCTCTCTTCCTCCTCTCTCCTCTCCTCCTCCCTCCTCCCTCCTCTCCCCCCTCCCTCCCTCCCTCCCCTCCTCCTTCCTCCCTCCTCCCCCCTGCCTCCTCCCTCCTCCCTTCCTCCTCTCCTCCCTCCTCCCTCCTCCTCCTCCCTCTTCCCTCCTCCCTCCTCCCTCCTCCCTACTCCTCCTCTCCTCCTCCCCCTCGTCCTGGCCCATCTCCCCGCCTCCGTCCCGCCCACCACGTGCGGCACGCGGGGACGTGACGTCCGCTCGAGGGGGGCAAGATGGCCGCCGAGCGGGCCCGCGGATCGTCAGCTCGAGGTCGCTCTTCTCCCGGAGGAGCCGCAACCGCCTAAAAGGGCGGCGGCGGCGGCGGCTGCGGCGGAGCGGCCCCCCGGCGACGGCGTGGCGGCCTCCAGGCCTCCCCCTTCTGAGGAAAATCCTGGAGGCCTCGCGCAGCAACTTGAGACCCAACTTGCGTCGGAGTCACGTCGGGCTCACGCAACATTACGTCGGAGCCACGTCGGGTTCACGTCGAAATCACGTCGGACTTGCGTCGGAGCATCGCCGGGTGAACATCGTCCCATATCGTACAGGGCAGACGTGTTGACTAGATGAAAAAACTACTGCGCGACGCGCGAGGTCTCCAGGATGTTCGTCATAATCCCCCCCATGGGTTCCTCCTGCTCCCTCCCTGCCTCGCATCTCGCCCGTGCGCCCCTCACTCCCCCGCCCTATATCCCGCAGCCGATACTTCCCTCTGAACGCTACTCTCCCCTATCACCCGAAGATGAAATCGGGGATGATCAGGGAGGCCACGCGGGAGAACACAATACCCTTCCCAGGGCCACACTGCCCTAGAAGTGTAGAAGGCATGGGTCGCGAAGCACAGGACATCCTTGATTTGGCAGGGTCGACCTCCGAATCACCCTCAACTGTAGCTGGGGACTGGCCCGCCCCACTCCGCGTACTGTGTTTCGACAAACACACACACACACACACACACACACACACACACACGCACACACACACACACACACACACACACGCACGCACGCACGCACGCACGCACGCACGCACGCGCACGCGCACGCGCACGCGCACGCGCACGCACACGCACA